GCCTACTGATGGGAAGAGATGCATATTTGTCCCCATCCCCAATTCTTACAAAGATGATCAAACAGAATGTAGAAATTATAGAGCAATATCATTAATATCACATGTAAGCAAAATATTGCTGAAGATCATCTAAAACCAGTTAGAATAAATAGTACATTGACTGGGAACTGCCAAAAGTTTCAAATGGGTTTTAGAGGAAGCCATGGTATGAGAGAGATTATTGCTGATGTCAGATGAATCATGGTTGAAAGTTGAGAATTGCAGAAAAATGTCTGTGTTTTATTGACTATTAAAAGACATTTAATTGTGTGGATCATAACAAGTTATGGCTAGCATGGAGAAGAATGGGAATTCCAGAACACTTAATTATACTCATATAAAATCTATTCCTAGAGCAAAAAGATATTGTCCAAACAGGAGAGCACTGCATGGTTTAAGATCAGGAAGGGTATCTGTCTAGGATGCATTCTTTATCCATGCCTATTCCTATCTGTAGATTGAGAAAATAATTGGTAAAGCTGAACTATATGAAGGAAAAGGTAGTTTCAGGATCTGAGGAAGATTCATCAACAATCTGCATTATGTAGATAACTCAAACTTGCTTGCTCAAAGTTAGGAAGACTTGATGCTTGTTACATCAAGCTTTCAATATGGATTACATTTCAACATCAAGAAGACAAAAATCCTCACCACTGGACCAATAAGCAACATCATAATGGATGGAGAAATTATTTAAGCTGCCAAATGATTTCATCTTATTTGGAGCCACAATCATCACCCTTGGTACCAGTTGGCAGGAGATAAGGAGACATATTTCTCTGGGCAAGTTGGCTGTCAGGGACCCCTCTAAAATACTGAAGAGCAATGATGTCAGTTTGAAGATTAAGGTGTGCCTGATTCAGGCCATGGTATTTTCAGTCACTTACTATGCATTTGCGAACTGGACAATATATATAGAAGGAAGAAGAAGAATTGATGCCTTTGAGTTGTAGTGTTGGTGAAGAGTACTGAATATCTCATGGATATCCAAAAAGAATGAACAGAGCTTGGAAAAGGTACAGCCAGAGTGCTCTTTGGAGGTAAGGATGGCAAAGTTTCATCTCCATACTTTGGACATGTTGCTAGGAGAGGCTATTCCTTGGAAAGGGATATTATGCTTGGAAAGGTGAAGGGTCAGTGAAAGAGAGAAAGACACACACCCCCTAACAAGAAGGAATGACATGGCAACAACTGCAGAAAGAGGCTCAAGTGTATCAGAGATAACGAAGATACCAGAGCTTAGGGAAGAATTCAGATATGTTTTTCACAGGGTCACGATACACAGTACTCAACTTGATGGCACCTAATAACAATACGAATGTCTGAACAATCACATTAAAGGACCTTACATAGGCAACTTTTACTATTATCCTAATCTTATATACACCATATTTGAGTTCATGCCACCTTCAAACTCATGTGCCTTAATTTTATCTTTTTTCTTCCTTCCTTCCTTCCTTCCTTCCTTCCTTCCTTCCTTCCTTCCTTCCTTCCTTCCTCCCTCCCTCCCTCTTTCCTTTCCTTTCCTTTCCTTTCTTGCTTGCTTTCTTCTTCTTTACTTATAAAGTTCATAAAGTTCTTATACATTGTTTTCCACACCAGATGTCACCCATTCTTCCACCCATCAAATTGTATGACCCTATGATTGAGCTCCCCCCTCCCTTGGATCCTCGTTCTACAATGGTCTTATACAGTATTCGTCTTTATGAGACTGAGTTAGTTGATTTAGCATAATGCTTTCCAGTCCCTCCCATGTTAGATAGTAATTTCCAAAATCATTGCTCCTGTATGCTGCATAGTATTCCACTGTATGAATGTAATATAATTTCTCAATCCATTCCATTGTGGTTTGGACTGTTTCATGTTCTTGTTATGGTAATTAATGCTGCTTTGAACATTGGTTTACAAGTCTCTGTGCCTCAGTTCTCATTTTCTCAGGGTATATTCCAAGCAGTGGAATAGCTGTGTCATATGGAATTTCTGTGTTCAGCTTTTTGAGGAAGCACCAAACTGCCTTCCACAAAGGCTGCACCATTTTACAGTCCCACCAACAATGTTTAAGAGTTCCTACTCACCACATCCTCTCCAATATTTATTACTTGCTGCCCCACTAAACTTTGCCACTGCTACTGGGGTAAGATGATATCTCATTGTGATTTTATGAGATTCCACCTCACCCTAGTAGGAGTGGCAAAATCCACAATGTCTTAGTTTTTCATACTGCAGTGACTTGAGCATTACTGAGATACTAGAAGCCATGTCACTTATATTTCAGATCCCACAGAGGTTCCCACAAAAACAGGCTTTCGTGGAGTTCCTAGACTAAAACCTAAAAATCTACTTCCCAAAATTGGCTACTGAAAATCTTATGGATTTCAACAGAACTTATCTAACTCATTTGCTTTGAATACTTCATCAGAAAGGATCAGTCATTACCCAAAGAGATGATCATGTTTGGTGAAGCAGAGACCCTGAATGAGATCATTTGGCAATAGCCACAACAAGTAAATTAAACTTGTTGGCAGCTGTGAGGATGTTGGACTGAATAATGTTTTAGTCTGTTGTCCACAGGTATATGAGAAATCCTATTAATGTCCCAAAATGACTATACTTAGGCTAAGATAGTGGAGTTCTTATTAGACTTATTTTTCTAGTTTCTTCCCAGAATGATACAAACTAACCTTTCCTCTCATTGTTTTTCAGCCATGATTGCAGAACTAGATACACATCAAGCAGCTGACAGTTTTTCCCTTACACTAAGCATCGTTAGCATTTTCCACAGCTTACAGAACTCTAACCTTTACTATGTATTTGGAGTTGTTTGGGGAAGGGTACAAAATAATTCACTGCTGCCCCCCCTTCAGCAGAATCATCTCTGGTCAGCCACTGTTAGATCTTTTCAGTCCTCCTCCCCTAATCAATAATTTGTTTTCTAATTAATTGAGTAAAGCTCTGGTGGCCTAGAGGTAAGAAGCTGCACTGCAATCCCAAAGCCACGCAGTTTGAATGTACCAGCGTCTCTGGGGGAGGACGAACAATCTCATCCCTTGCTGTAAACTGCCTCTCAAAATCACTAGAGGGTCAGCTATGGGTCAGTTCCGACTCGACGGCACACAACAACAATAAACTGAAGTTAATGTCTTTTGGGGAGCTCTGGTAGCTTAGTGGTAAGGAATTGTGCTCCCAATTCAAAGACAGGTGGTTCAAATTCACCAGCTGCTCCTCAGGAGGAAAATGAGCAGTCTCTTCCTCCAAAATTAAAACATTATGGAAAGTCAGCTATGACTCAATGGTACAGAACAACAACATCTTCGAGTCTGTCTCTAGGTCAGTTTTTTTGGTCTATGAACACAAACTGTGCAAAGAGCTGGAGTCAGAGCGTGAAAAGGGATGAGAAGTGACAAAGAACTTGCTCAGTACTTCTCGAGCTGAAAGAACGGAAAAACAAATTCAAGCCTTGAGTTGCAATACTGAGAGATGCTATGGGAAAGATATTGCATGATCCAGGAAGCATATCAGGAAGATGGAAGAAATACAAAGAATCACTGCACCAAAAAAAGATGACTGAGTGAAAAAAAATCAGAAAGCACCATATAAACAGGAGCCAATGATAATAAAGGAAGAGGTTCAAGAAGCACTGAAGACATTGGCATAAAATAAGTCTTTAAAAAATTGGAACTGATGGGATGCCAGCTGACATGTTTCAACCAACAGATGCAGCCCTGGACTGGCTAACAAGTCTGTACCAAGACATTTGGAGGGCAATTGTCTGGCCGACTGGCTGGAAGAAATCTATAATTGTTCTTATCCCCAAGAAAGGTGATCCAACAGAATGTCGAAATTATCAAACAACATCATTAATATCACATGCTAGCAAAATATTGCTGAAGATAATCCAAAACTGGTTTGAACAGTGCATTAACCAGAAGCTGACAGAAATTCAAGCTAGGTTTAGAAGACATCAGATAATTGTAGCTGAAAGTAGAGACTACCAGAAAAATTACTAACCATGTTTTATTTATTGTGTAAAGGCATATGACTCTGTGGATCATAACAAACTATGGCTAACATTGAGAAGAATGGGGGCCCCAGAACACATATTGTGCTAATGGACTGAGAAATTATGGTACATTCACACAAAGGAATAATACTATGCAGCACACAGGAGAAATAACTTTGTAAAGTATTACCTAACTTGGGAGGGACTGGAAAGCATTATGCTAGGTGAACTAACTCAGTCCCACAAGGATAAATATTGTATAAGACCATTATTGTAGAATGAATATAAGGATCCAGGAGGGGTGGGAGAGGCTGGAAGCAGAGGGATGTGGATGTACAAGAGGAAGAGGGGATTAATCATTGGGTTGTAAAATTTGATAGGTGGAGGGGTGAGGGAAATTTAAATAATTTGTTCGCATTTGTGGTGTTTTCTGAAGGGAAAAAGGACCACTTCATGGTTTAAAATTGGGAAGGGTGTGTGGCAGTGATGTATCCTTTGTCCATACTTAATCAATCTGTATATTGAGCAAATAATTCAAAAAGTTGAACTCTATGAAAGAAAAGGTGACATCAGGATTGAAGGAAGACTCATCAACAACCTGTGTTATGCAGATGACACAGCTTTGCTTGCTGAAAGTGAGAAACACTTTAAACTCTTGCTGCAGAAGATCAAGGACTACAGCCTTCAAAGTGGACTGTCTCAGCATCAAGAAGACAAAAATCCTCACCATTGGGCCAGTAGGCAACATTATGATAGATGGAGAAAGGATTGAAGTTGCCAATAAAATGTCATCTTGCTTCAATCAAAAATCAACACCCTTAATACCAGAAGTTAGGAGATATCGGGAGCCTTATTGTATTGGGCAAATCTGCTCTCAAGGATCTCTTCAAAATACTGGCTAGTGGCTTTGCAGACAACAATGCCTCAGCAACACACTTGTCCACTCTGCTCGTCCCCAGCCATGGTCAATCCCACTATGTACTTCAACATCACCATCCAAGGCAAACTTTTCGGCTGTATCTCCTTCGAGCTGTTTGCAGATAAATTCCCAAAGACAACAGAAAACTTCCATGCTCTGAGTACTGGGGAGAAAGGGTTTGGTTACAAGGGTTCTCGTTTTCACAGAATCCGTCCTGGGTTTACGTGCCAGGGTGGTGACTTCACATGCCATAGCAGTACTGGTGGCAAGTCCATATATGGGGAGGAATTTGATGGTGAGAACTTCATCCTGAAGCACATAGTTTCTGGCAACCTGTCCATGGCAAATGCTGGACCCTATACAAATGATTCTCAGCCTTTTATCTGTACTGCTAAGATTGCATGGTTGGATGGCAAGCATGTAGTCTTGGGCAAGGTGAAAGAAGGCTTGAACATTATGGAAGCCTTGGAGCGGTTTGGGTCCAGGAATGACAAGAACAGCAAGAAGATCGCCATTGCTGACTGTGGACAACTCTAATGTGATCTGTATTTCATGTTTTCTCTTAATCACCACATCATTCCTTCTATAACTTCAGAGATCACCCTGCTATTCCTACTGTGCTTGCAGTACCTTTTAATCTTTGTGCCTTTGCTATAGTTCTTTGGGTTCCATGTTTTCTTCTTCCCTTCCAAGTTTAGCAGGATTACAGAGTTAAGCTTATGACTATGAAATAAAAACTAGATCCAAAAAAACCCACAAAAAAACACCACATCACAAAATACCGAATAGCAGCAATGTGAGCTTAAAGGTGAACATGATCCAGGCGATGGGTTTTTTTCACTCATTTACTATACATCTGAGAGCTAGACAATGGATAAGGATGACAGAAAAATTGAAGCCTTTGAGTTGTGGTGTTAGGGAAGAGTGCGGAATATCCCCAAGACTACCAAATGAACAAATAGATAAGTCTTGGGAAAGGTGCAAGTTTCCCCTTGAAAACAAAGATAGTGAAGCTTCATCTATCATACTTTGGGCATGTTGCTAGGAAAAGCTGTTTCTTGCCAGAGGATACCATGTTTGGAGGGATGGATGGTCGGCAAAAGGGAGGAAGGCCTTTAACGAGATGGACTGACACAGGGACTGTAGCTATGGGCTCAAGTATGTCAGAGATGATGAGGATGACACAGGATGGGGCAGGGTTCAAACCTGTTGTTCATAGAGTTGCTATGAGTCAGACGTGACTCAACGGCACCTAACAGCATCACCTCCACCAACAATTAGCTACTACTTGCTCCACAAGCTGCTTGAAGGGGAAAAAAAAATATGCAATATCTTCCCATGTAATTTAGTGCTTAGGAAAACCAACTGGACAGTCAGCTATGAATCTATTCCAACTTGACAGTATCCTACAACACAACAACTTTCATATTTATCTCTACTACCATCAACTCATTTTCAACTTTTAACAATCCTATAGGACAGAGTATAACTGACTCATAAAATTTCCAAGGCTGTAAATCTTTATGGAAGTTGAATATCTCATCTTTTTTGCTCCTGAAACAGCTGATGAATTTGAACTGTTAACTTTTTGGTTATCAGCCAAATGCCTTAACCACTTAAACACTCCCTCATAATCTCTTTCTGTCTCTCTGTATATTGTTGTTATTAAGTGCCATCAAGTCAATTACAACTCATGAACAGTAGAGCTGAACCTTGTCCTACCTACTCTGTGCCATCTTCATCATCTCAGACATACTTGAAACCACTGTTGCAGTCACTGGGTCAAACCATCTCATTTGAGGGTCTTTCTCTCTTTTCTGACCCTCCACCTTTCCAAACATGTCCTTTTTCAAGGAATTGCCTCTTTTAACAACATAATCAAAGTATGTGAGAATAAGCTTTGCCATCTTTGCTTCTTAGGAACACTCTGACTTCACCTTCTCCAAGATACATTTGTGTCTTTTGGAAGTCCATGGGATATTCAGTTTAGTCACCAACACCACAACTCAAAGGCATAGATTCTTCTTCTGCCATTGCTATTAATTGTCTAGCTCTCAGATGCATAGCCAGTAACTGAAAAGACCAAGACTTGAATCAGACACACCTTAGTCTTGAAGCTGACATCTTTGCTCCTCAGTACTTAGAGAGTTCTTTTAAAGTAGAGTTTCCCAATTAAATATGTCTTTTTATTTCTTGACTTCTGGTGATAAAGGTGTTGGTTGTGGATACAAATAAGATGAAATTTTGACAATTTCATGATTGAAAAAGCCATGATCTGAATCAAGTGCACCTTAGTCCTCAAAGATCATTGCTCCTCAGTAATTTAGAGAAGTCCCTGAATGCAGCCTTTCCCAGTGTAATTCATTTTCTAATCTGACTGCTGGTACCAAGTATTTTGATTGTGGATCCATGTAAGATGAAGTTGCTGAAAGTTTCAATATTTTCTTCCTCTATTATAATGTCATAGCCCTGGTGTACAAGTTGCTGTACAGCGGTAACTTGTGGTTGCTGTGAGGCTGAACTCTGTGACAGATGCGTCAGATGTGTTAATGGCTGGTTACCCAATGCAGACAGAGAGTGAGGTGGAGCTCCCTAATTAAAACAAGCTTGGAAGGAGGAGTGGCATCCACTTCCATGATAGCTTGCCTCCGGAAACCCTATGAACCTGGAGAGAGGATGAGAGACACCCACGCATTGAGGACTCTCCTTCATAGGGTCGCTTCGAGTCGCCTGCGACTCGACAGCACTTAACAACAACAACATTATAATGTCATCTATCTGTCCAATGGTGAGACTTTTCATTTTCTTGGCATTGGGAGGCAATCCACATTGAAGGCTGCAGTATTTGATCTTCTGTAGCAAGTGAAGTCTCCTCACTTTCAGCAAGCAAAATTGTGTCATCTGCATATGGAAGATTATTGACAAGTCCAATTCTGATGCCACATTCTTCTTTAAAGGGTCCAGCTTCTAGAATAATTTGCTCAGTATGGTGAACAATCACAACCCTGACACAGCTTTTCTTAATTTTAAACCATGTAGTGTTCCCTTGCTTTATTCTTGGTCTAGGTATAAGTTTGGCATAAGCACTATTAAGTGTCCCGGGATTCCCATTCTTCTCAATGTTAGCCATAATTTGAGCCATATGCCTTTGCGTAGTCAATAAAACACAAATAGACATTCTTCTGGTATTCTTTGCTTTCAGTCAGGATCCATATGACATTAGTAGTAGTATCTTGGGTTGCCACAGCCTCTTCGAAACCCAGCTTGAACTCTGTCAATGTACTGTTCTAGCCATTTTTTAGTGACCTTCAGCATTTTTTTTTGCTTATGTGTGATATTAATAATACTGTACAATAATTTCCACATTCTGTTGGATCATCTTTCTTGGATATTGGAACATATATCCATCTCTTCCAGTCAGCTGTCTTCCAAATTTCCTGGCACAGACTAGGAAACACATCAGGGCTAGAGCTGTTGTTTAAAACATGTCAATTGGTATCCCATCAATTCCTGGGGCTTTATTTTTTGCCAGTGCCTTCAATGCAGCTTAAACGTCTTCCTTCATTACCATTGGCTCTTGATCATAGGATACTTCCTGAAATATTTCCGTGTCAGCCAATTCTTTTTGGTATAATGAATGACTCTGCATGTTCCCTCCATCTTCTTTTTTTTAATTTATTATTAATTTCAATGAAAATTTGCAGAGACTTTGGATTTCCATTCATTCATTGTTGCACCTCCTCCCCCCAACCTTCCCCCCTAGTACACTACCCTCTTGGAAAAGTAAAAGAAAAATTCTTTCATTGTTTTACAATCCCTCCCCCCAGGTCCACTCCACTATATAGCCT